ACAGGAAGTAAAAGTCGCAAACTCGCAGGGTCCACACATCTCAGGGCAATGGAGCAGGGGAGGTTCTAGGGGCGGGGCCACAGGGGCATTGGACCCAGCTGAAATCTGATTGGCCCCCTGAAGTGCCCCTGCCCTGTCACTCATCTGTCCTTTACCTGGGGGTGATGATGGTGGATGCAGGTCCATGTTCAAACACTAGAGGCACTAATGAGTCAAATAGTAAAGTCCAAAATGAATCAAGATGGCAGAATTCTTCTCTTCTTAAAATGTGAACAATCCTGCAAAAGTCTTTCATTTGACAAATGACGGCTGGATTTTCTCATATGTTGTGTTTCAAAATATTTTATCTATGTACAGTAAAATATATGAAAAACTGGTGAGGAGAATTTACTGTGCAAGATTTTTGGTACCACTTTACAATCAAGCTTTCCTTATAGATGGCTTATAAATAGTTTATAGATAGATTATTAATTCATTTGTAACGTTTGCACTTCATAAAGCAATAATAAATGACTTGAAAAAATCTGTAAGATTGCTTTATACATCCGTATACCTGCAAAATGATGTAAAATCCTTATAATTTATGGACAATTTGTACAACTTGACATGTATATAATTGTTTCAATTTTGAATGTGTATGGTATGTAGTGATATAAWAGCTGTACCACATCACTCAAGTGCAGAACAACCACTCCTTGCTGTTTTCCTGCRTTTTGCCGGTTCCTCTTGGTCTCATTGGAAAAGGACTGTGTTTCTGCATCTGAGAAGGAAATCTGAGGAACGACTCCCAGTCCTCCGCAACTCCAATTCCCTTCGTTCTTTTACAAAGATTTGTTCCAAGGATTCGAATCGTTCCTGAACGTCTCATCTCCTGACCCGTTAGCTGCAGCCAGACTCCCGGTTCAGCCAGAGCCGCACTTGAAGCGGACAGAAACTAGAAAAATATGCGGATAAACGGAGTTTTACTATAAAACACGGACACTATCATGAAATTTTATCGGCTGGCAGTTGTGCTGGGATCTTTAGGTGAGTAAAACTTTATGTGGCGGGGATGTGCAAATTGTATTTTACCTCCGCAGCAGCAACAAGAGGCGCAACAGGTTGAGCCCGTAAACTTCAGCTGATTATACGAGCTGCTGCTGGTCTCAGTTTGCGTCAGTTTATCTTTATGAGCTCAAACAATGGAAGCTGTTTTTGCACCGTTTTATTTTACAGTAACATAAGGCAGGGTTTTTGGTGCAACTGTTGCGCAATTATCCGTATAATGTCTAACATCTTGTGCGCATAAATATAATTGTTTAGAGGTTATTTTTGGCTTATAGAACGGTTTATATGASATCATTTGAACATTTTGGTGTATTTCTACAAGCAAAAGCAAAAAAATGCCAGAAATTGCAGTATTTCAGCCTCRCAAATGAAAGGGAATAATGTGTTTAAAACAGTAAACAAAGTGTTTTTGAGTTTGAGATTTAGAGAGTTGATGTAGAGCTTTACATAATTCATAATTTAATTTGAAATTAAGCACATTTCAGCTCCACAGAAGGTTTGAGGTGTAGCAGTGATGGTTGCTGTGAGGAGGACCAAAATCTCCCTTTCATCAAACAGCAGAGACATCTGCCATCACCATGCAGGCRATATTCAGAATGATCAGCGGTCTTTGTTGGAATAATGAGTCAATGTGAAGGAATGTGCAACAAAGTAAAAGGCAGGAAATGTGAGGGCTTCGCAGAGGAAAAAGTCTGACTGTGTTCAGGAAACCTGCAGCGTCCAGCAGCAGAGCTGTGACCTGGAAACACCTCCGACTGCTTCAGTGGGTTCATCTAATCCTGAAATGAGACCTTCGTGTGAGTGCAGGTGGTGAGGAGGATGTAACCTGCTCATTAACCCACAGTAAACAATAGTTACCAGGTGAGTTCATCCAGACACACACYAGCCTTCACGCCTCAGCCTGGAGGCCTTCATGGAGCTGATGGAGCAACGGTTCGTTTTAAATCTCTGCTGGATTATTGGTCTGTTCACATCCAGCTGAATGAGGCTGAATGCTCCGATTGGTTGGGGAGTCTGTGACCTCCTCCTCCCCCCTTCTCAGCTCCTCAACTGGGACAGGAGGAGGGGGGCTCCAACAATGGACCGCTCCATAAATAAGGGCCCTGCTCAGTCTTTGTGCATTGTTTTAAAGGTGTAAAATAAAGTGGGTCATGGGAATCACAATGATGCTCAACCTGCTGGACCTCGGAAAACATTGCATTCTTACAAAGAGAAATAATCTAAAGCCTCTGAGGAGAGTTTTGCGTTTCTAGATGGATATTTAATAAAACAACAAATATCTTGAAATAATCTGTTTGATCTCTAAAAACAAAAATGATATGTCCTTACTGTAAAGTTAAGAAAAGCAGGAGTTTTAAATTTCAGTGGCTTAATTTAAGTTGATTTTTAAAGAAATAAAAAATAAAATCTGCACACTGAGTTTTTTTGTAAGTTAATAAATAATAATAAAAAACTACCAGTTCTAAATGTGACCTATGAAAACACTCARGTAGAAATTAAAGAATTATCTGTTTTAGATCAGTGTGTTGAACTCAGAGAAGCAGACTGCTGGATTTGCTTTTTGTTTTGGTTTCCTGTCTTCTGGAAAATGTTTAGACCAAGTTCCTGCCCCACCTAGAGCTAATAAGACCAGCAGAAATGATCCACAGGACCACTACTTCTCCTCCCTGAAGGATGACACTCCCCCAGCCCCCCTACACACACAGGAATTTAACCTCCTGACCCCTGGTACCGAGCAGCAGAGGAGCCCCCCACACACCTAATCTCAGTTCCTGCCTTTGCTCCTGTTTCAAAGTGATGCAAATCACAGTTTCTCATCGTGAATCATCGGCACAGATGAGAACGACTCACAGCTGTWCCTTCTGTAATAAAGATGTAATTTGTGTAAACCTCCTTTTTTAAGCACTTTTGTCTACCAGCAGTTTCTGGTTTGATAAAAAAAAAAAACTCAGATGAATGAAAGCATACTTCAAATATAGTACAAAATACTTCAAAAGCAATTTGTAGGCAGTGGTTTAAAAATGGTAAAATGGTAAATGGACTGAACTTATAGAGCGCTTTTTAAGTCCCTCCGGACCCCGAAGCGCTTTACACTAACACACATTCACCCATTCACACACTGAAAAACAACAACACTTAAACAGTGAGATCTACAGTAGATCTATATTTTAAAAAGTGTGTGTGTGTGTGTGTGTGTGTGTGTGTGTGTGTGTGTGTGTGTGTGTGTGTGTGTG